TAACCAAGATTTGGATCTGTCTTTTGGTGGGTACATTGATTTGGCTTCTGAAAACACTTCTTGTGAAGGTTCTTGCCTCATCTTTCCATGTTAGTACATTTTTTGATCGGATTCAGGAGTCTTTGTTTAATCAGTATGTGATTGAGACACTCTCGGGTCCACCATTGATTGAAATTCAGCAAGAACAGGAAGAGGAGGAGAGTGTCATGGCTGAGGTTCAAAAATTTCAGAATGCTGGGGTGTCTGTTCCTGCAGACNGAACCGTACATTGTGACCTTGATTAGAAAAAGGGGCAATATCAATGTTGCATTCAGACATGCACATGAGTTTTCTAGCCTGGTAACATCATATAGCACATATAGGATAGATTTATGCGGATATATCTGTGTGTGGGGGCAAAGTATTATTTTTCTTATTCGAAGTTTTCTATGCTGAAGAGTGAATACATTCGAAAATTGAGGTCAATTATCTAGAGTGTGAGATTTGTGGTGATATTAGTCATATACCTAAATAGGATAGACTGTATGGAACGATGTATCTGGTATACTTTGTGATAGATGCGCAACTCTTAAATTGAAGAGAAAACTATATCATANATCTGAGGGCAAATGTTTTTCCAAAGAGTGGGAAAGTGATAGGGGGTGGAACACCTCGAAAGACCCCCAAGGCTTCTACTGCAAAGAGTCCTATATTTTCCAGGGTCATGTCTAAGAAGGAGAAGGAAGAGGAAGGAATTACAATTGACCACTTACACAGATTGAATCAGAACAATATTTCAGCTTGGAATATGAAGAGGTTGATGAATATTGTCCGAAAAGGGGTACTATCGACTTTAGATGAGCAACTGCAAGACTCAACTAGGGAGGATGAGTCTACAGTGCAAATTACAAGTGAAAACCAGGCAAAAGCTGCAGCCAAGAAGATATTCTGCAATGTGACTAAGAGAGGGTCTAAGTAAGTTCTTTGCCTATTTTGTTAACTGCACCTTTGTCTGCTTGATTGGTTGATATGGGAGTTTCATGTTAGCTTCATTTGTCAATCACACCTGTAGAGATTGTTAATTAGATCTTTAGTAACCAGTTCAATTGTTTTATATTGATCCTTATTTCGTGTGCACAAGAAAGAACTGCATTATTGGATTGATGGTATCCGTCATAAGATAGAGTAGGCACTAGATACTGATAAAGAGGCAAGTGAGGCGCATAATTTTGGAGGTGCTTCACATCAGCGCACACATTTACAGATAAGGTTACCAATATTATTTTCTGCTTGAAGGACACAGATCAGAAATTTGTACCACTGTACCTGCAAGTCAGGTCACAAATTATAAAGCAAAATGGAGTCAGAGAAATGGTTGTAGCTGGTATTATTTTGTGGGGATCTCAAAGATTTTAATTTCTTGTCGTATTAAATTTATTTGTTGGTATATATTTGAAGTGTCCTTCTGTGTCAGACACNGTTGTAGCTGGTATTATTTTGTGGGGATCTCAAAGATTTTAATTTCTTGTCGTATTACATTTATTTGTTGGTATATATTTGAAGTGTCCTTCTGTGTCAGACAAATAAACCTGGAGGATCTGATGCGCTTTATGAGGGAAGATGAAGCATTGAAGACTATTCATCTCTTTGAAGGAGCAAGCGAAAGCAAGGGCATAAGCAAGCGAGCTCTTAAAAATTGGGTGGTAAATTATATTTCCATGCTTTCCCCTCCCTTTTTCTTGTCTGTATTGGTGGTTGATCAGATGTGCTTTACACATAAACCTATAGTCTGACGTTTTGAACTTAATTGATCATTGCCCTATATGTCCATTGGTTGAATCGTTGAGGCTTCGTACACAAAATATCAATGGTGTTGTGAGTGTACTTCTACGCTTATTATTCTAAGGATGCACATATCATTGATATCTGTGGTAAGTGCACATATCATTGATATCTGTGGTAAGGCTAGTCATCAAGAGAATGGAATTATAGTCAATTGTAAGATCTTATAAGACCATCTTAAATGAACAAATGAAAGAGGAGATTGGTGAACTCTATAAGACCAACTAGTTTTGTTTGGTAAAGCCTCATTTTTTTTTTGGGAAATCTGAAAGAAAAAAAAAATTCATACGTGCTGTATTCAGAATGCAGAAAATCAGTATAACAAAAAATGGTTCTCTTTTTCCAGTATTGATAATAACATGATCTGTATCTATCTTTACAGTCTTCCGAAACGGTAACCAGATGGGGCTTGAACTTCCCATGTTTTGCTTGGATAATCTGCTTAGTGCTTAGGTTCCAATTCTCATGGTAACAAGATTCTGACCTTGATGTATGTTGGTTATTATCTGGATTATCTAAGGCAAGCTGGCCTTGATTCATGGCCATCTTACTGAACATCCTCAATTAGGCTTGAGAACTCGATAGGATGGCATTTTTCAAATCAATAGTCCCATCTCTATATCGGAGACTTCAGTATCCTGATCTTTCCCTTCCAGCCATATTACTTCCCATCTGCTTAACTGAGTTGGATTAAGTTCGAACAATCTATCCTTCCTTTCAATTTCAATATTTTGAACTGACATGTTGTCTATGTATGTGTTATTCTTTGACAGTACAAGGATATTATGATTTTCTTTTTTTCCAGGTCAATGCATTCCGAGAACGGAGAGCCCTTGCTTTGTCTCTCAACGACACAAAAACAGCTGTAAACACACTCCACCATATGTTGAATGTCCTTGTGGGAATGGTCATAGTGGTTATCTGGCTTCTTATACTCAAGGTTACCACTACCCATTTCCTTATCTTTTTAAGCTCCCAGCTTCTTTTGGTGGTCTTCATGTTTGGAAACACATGCAAGACAACATTTGAGGCAATCATTTTCTTATTCGTAATGCATCCATTTGATGTGGGTGATCGCGTTGAAGTGGAAGGAGTTCAGGTAAGACCTTACGCATTAAAGCTAAAATCATGTCCATTTTGCTTACATGTGCGTTTAAGCATGTATTTCTATCAAATGTTTGTGGCTGTAACTTCCATTTATTTTGAGTCTCAGATGATAGTCGAAGAGATGAATATATTGACAACGGTTTTTCTGAGGTATGATAACCAGAAGATCATATATCCAAATGCAGTACTATCTACCAAACCCATCAGTAATTATTATCGCAGTCCAGATATGGGAGATGCAATTGACTTTTGTATCCATATCTCAACTCCCATGGAAAAGATTGCTATGATGAAAGAGAGAATAACGAGGTATTCATGAATATGCTTATTTTTTTCCTCATTTGTTTTTCTCTCGTCTATTATGTAGCTTTTGCGGCATAATGTCAAAAGGTTGCTTCTGTTTACCTTACGAGGATTATAGCACAATGGCTTGGGTAGATTTGCAGAGAGCTACTGGCATACTTTGAGTTCAATGTTTTTAATAGTATTTTTCCGTCTTGTGTCAAGTCTATAAACTAGCTAATAGATTTATGTCTCTCATCTACTGTATGATATGGTTGCCTTGATTGCAGGTATATTGAAAATAAGAGCGAGCACTGGTACCCAGCTCCGATGATAGTCCTGAGGGACGTGGAGGACATGAACAGGCTGAAAATATCATTGTGGCTTTCACACACAATGAACCACCAGGACATGGGTGAGAGGTGGGCAAGGAGGGCTCTTTTGATTGAGGAGATGATCAAAGTGTTCACGGAGCTTGATATTCAATACCGAATGCTGCCCTTTGACGTTAATGTGCGACAAATGCCAGCTCTGACTTCAAACAGGCTTCCCTCCACTTGGGCTGTTTGTGCTAGCTGATCATACATGAAAAATGAGCAGTCTGCGATTTCATGTCAGATGTTGGACATGTAGCAGCAATGCTCGTTGGATCAGGAGGGGGAAGTACTAGGTATTGGGAGGTTTAGACTGCGAACCGTACATTGTGACCTTGATTAGAAAAAGGGGCAATATCAATGTTGCATTCAGACATGCACATGAGTTTTCTAGCCTGGTAACATCATATAGCACATATAGGATAGATTTATGCGGATATATCTGTGTGTGTGGGCAAAGTATTATTTTTCTTATTCGAAGTTTTCTATGCTGAAGAGTGAATACATTCGAAATTTGAGGTCAATTATCTAGAGTGTGAGATTTGTGGTGATATTAGTCATATACCTAAAATAGGATAGACTGTATGGAACGATGTATCTGGTATACTTTGTGATAGATGCGCAACTCTTAAATTGAAGAGAAAACTATATCATAAAAGTCACAAGACCTGTCATGTTTTAGGGTATTGAATAGTGGACAATTAAGAAACAATATGTTCGGGAATTATATTGCAGAAATGATAATAATAAATAAATTTGTGGTAAAATTAAGAAAAATAGAATTAAACAAATGAATTTGAGCTGGTTTTATGGTAAAATAATAATGCATCATAACTGTGACCTCTGAAGGCTTAACAACCTTTTTGAAGCATGAAAAAGCTGTAAGAATTCATTGAAGGTTACAGTTGGCTAGGGTTTTTTTTTTTTTTTTTTTTTCAGTTCAACGGCTATCGGGTCACCTTACGTGTCTTTTGACTAATTCTTTTCTTAATCTGATTAAAGATAGATCATTCACGTCAAAATTAAGAAATTTATGAAAGATAAATCTTTTATAATTTAGTTTAAAGAAGTTTTCAAAATTTGAACTTAAGCGGCTAGATTATTGTTTGTTCAAAGATTTGTATTATCTTTTTTTTTTTGGTCAGACCATCTGGTATTCGAAAGTTATTTTGGGCTCCGACTAATCCAGATTCGAGCCAAGTAGGACCACAAGAGCGGTAAAAACTCTCCCTATCGAACGCAGTTGCATTCCCAAGACTCGAACTCGAGACCTTGGTTAAGTTAGAAGAGTTTCTCACCAACTAATCTAACGCTCANGGGATCTCAAAGATTTTAATTTCTTGTCGTATTACATTTATTTGTTGGTATATATTTGAAGTGTCCTTCTGTGTCAGACAAATAAACCTGGAGGATCTGATGCGCTTTATGAGGGAAGATGAAGCATTGAAGACTATTCATCTCTTTGAAGGAGCAAGCGAAAGCAAGGGCATAAGCAAGCGAGCTCTTAAAAATTGGGTGGTAAATTATATTTCCATGCTTTCCCCTCCCTTTTTCTTGTCTGTATTGGTGGTTGATCAGATGTGCTTTACACATAAACCTATAGTCTGACGTTTTGAACTTAATTGATCATTGCCCTATATGTCCATTGGTTGAATCGTTGAGGCTTCGTACACAAAATATCAATGGTGTTGTGAGTGTACTTCTACGCTTATTATTCTAAGGATGCACATATCATTGATATCTGTGGTAAGTGCACATATCATTGATATCTGTGGTAAGGCTAGTCATCAAGAGAATGGAATTATAGTCAATTGTAAGATCTTATAAGACCATCTTAAATGAACAAATGAAAGAGGAGATTGGTGAACTCTATAAGACCAACTAGTTTTGTATGGTAAAGCCTCATTTTTTTTTGGGAAATCTGAAAGAAAAAAAAAATTCATACGTGCTGTATTCAGAATGCAGAAAATCAGTATAACAAAAAATGGTTCTCTTTTTCCAGTATTGATAATAACATGATCTGTATCTATCTTTACAGTCTTCCGAAACGGTAACCAGATGGGGCTTGAACTTCCCATGTTTTGCTTGGATAATCTGCTTAGTGCTTAGGTTCCAATTCTCATGGTAACAAGATTCTGACCTTGATGTATGTTGGTTATTATCTGGATTATCTAAGGCAAGCTGGCCTTGATTCATGGCCATCTTACTGAACATCCTCAATTAGGCTTGAGAACTCGATAGGATGGCATTTTTCAAATCAATAGTCCCATCTCTATATCGGAGACTTCAGTATCCTGATCTTTCCCTTCCAGCCATATTACTTCCCATCTGCTTAACTGAGTTGGATTAAGTTCGAACAATCTATCCTTCCTTTCAATTTCAATATTTTGAACTGACATGTTGTCTATGTATGTGTTATTCTTTGACAGTACAAGGATATTATGATTTTCTTTTTTTCCAGGTCAATGCATTCCGAGAACGGAGAGCCCTTGCTTTGTCTCTCAACGACACAAAAACAGCTGTAAACACACTCCACCATATGTTGAATGTCCTTGTGGGAATGGTCATAGTGGTTATCTGGCTTCTTATACTCAAGGTTACCACTACCCATTTCCTTATCTTTTTAAGCTCCCAGCTTCTTTTGGTGGTCTTCATGTTTGGAAACACATGCAAGACAACATTTGAGGCAATCATTTTCTTATTCGTAATGCATCCATTTGATGTGGGTGATCGCGTTGAAGTGGAAGGAGTTCAGGTAAGACCTTACGCATTAAAGCTAAAATCATGTCCATTTTGCTTACATGTGCGTTTAAGCATGTATTTCTATCAAATGTTTGTGGCTGTAACTTCCATTTATTTTGAGTCTCAGATGATAGTCGAAGAGATGAATATATTGACAACGGTTTTTCTGAGGTATGATAACCAGAAGATCATATATCCAAATGCAGTACTATCTACCAAACCCATCAGTAATTATTATCGCAGTCCAGATATGGGAGATGCAATTGACTTTTGTATCCATATCTCAACTCCCATGGAAAAGATTGCTATGATGAAAGAGAGAATAACGAGGTATTCATGAATATGCTTATTTTTTTCCTCATTTGTTTTTCTCTCGTCTATTATGTAGCTTTTGCGGCATAATGTCAAAAGGTTGCTTCTGTTTACCTTACGAGGATTATAGCACAATGGCTTGGGTAGATTTGCAGAGAGCTACTGGCATACTTTGAGTTCAATGTTTTTAATAGTATTTTTCCGTCTTGTGTCAAGTCTATAAACTAGCTAATAGATTTATGTCTCTCATCTACTGTATGATATGGTTGCCTTGATTGCAGGTATATTGAAAATAAGAGCGAGCACTGGTACCCAGCTCCGATGATAGTCCTGAGGGACGTGGAGGACATGAACAGGCTGAAAATATCATTGTGGCTTTCACACACAATGAACCACCAGGACATGGGTGAGAGGTGGGCAAGGAGGGCTCTTTTGATTGAGGAGATGATCAAAGTGTTCACGGAGCTTGATATTCAATACCGAATGCTGCCCTTTGACGTTAATGTGCGACAAATGCCAGCTCTGACTTCAAACAGGCTTCCCTCCACTTGGGCTGTTTGTGCTAGCTGATCATACATGAAAAATGAGCAGTCTGCGATTTCATGTCAGATGTTGGACATGTAGCAGCAATGCTCGTTGGATCAGGAGGGGGAAGTACTAGGTATTGGGAGGTTTAGACTGCGAACCGTACATTGTGACCTTGATTAGAAAAAGGGGCAATATCAATGTTGCATTCAGACATGCACATGAGTTTTCTAGCCTGGTAACATCATATAGCACATATAGGATAGATTTATGCGGATATATCTGTGTGTGGGGGCAAAGTATTATTTTTCTTATTCGAAGTTTTCTATGCTGAAGAGTGAATACATTCGAAAATTGAGGTCAATTATCTAGAGTGTGAGATTTGTGGTGATATTAGTCATATACCTAAATAGGATAGACTGTATGGAACGATGTATCTGGTATACTTTGTGATAGATGCGCAACTCTTAAATTGAAGAGAAAACTATATCATAAAAGTCACAAGACCTGTCATGTTTTAGGGTATTGAATAGTGGACAATTAAGAAACAATATGTTCGGGAATTATATTGCAGAAATGATAATAATAAATAAATTTGTGGTAAAATTAAGAAAAATAGAATTAAACAAATGAATTTGAGCTGGTTTTATGGTAAAATAATAATGCATCATAACTGTGACCTCTGAAGGCTTAACAACCTTTTTGAAGGATGAAAAAGCTGTAAGAATTCATTGAAGGTTACAGTTGGCTAGGGATTTTTTTTTTTTTTTTTTTTCAGTTCAACGGCTATCGGGTCACCTTACGTGTCTTTTGACTAATTCTTTTCTTAATCTGATTAAAGATAGATCATTCACGTCAAAATTAAGAAATTTATGAAAGATAAATCTTTTATAATTTAGTTTAAAGAAGTTTTCAAAATTTGAACTTAAGCGGCTAGATTATTGTTTGTTCAAAGATTTGTATTATCTTTTTTTTTTCGGTCAGACCATCTGGTATTCGAAAGTTATTTTGGGCTCCGACTAATCCAGATTCGAGCCAAGTAGAACCACAAGAGCGATAAAAACTCTCCTTACCGAACGCAGTTGCATTCCTAAGACTCGAACTCGAGACCTTGGTTAAGTTAGAAGAGTTTCTCACCAACTAATCTAACGCTCGGTGGTTAGAATTGCATTATCTTTGAACACAGATCAAGCGAAGCTTTTTTCTTCCTTTTTTTTTTCCTTACTTTTTTTCTCATATCAAGCCAAGTTTGAGATGAGTTAGTGCTGTTGGGTTTGATTACAATTCCATTATTTGGACGGAGGATATGCTTTTGCATTAGAACCCTAAATCTTTGGGTAAATCTTTTAGGGATTCTTGGCATTTGATATAATTATAGAGCATGGAGTCATAGTGTACCGTACCATATGAAGCAACCCTATTTTAAGCGTAATGCTATTGAGATGGTTTCAACTTCTGACATAATTAATTAATCCAATAATGTGGTTATTGATATGGTTTCATAGCATTATTACAACCGCAACTATTGAATTTAATCATTAAAATCATATCACTTAACATATCATTTAGTCAACAAATTATATCAAATTTTTCGATCAAAAAAATTATTACTTCTAACATTTAAAATATTATATATATACGCCTAAAGTTTGNTTAAATGAACAAATGAAAGAGGAGATTGGTGAACTCTATAAGACCAACTAGTTTTGTTTGGTAAAGCCTCATTTTTTTTTTGGGAAATCTGAAAGAAAAAAAAAATTCATACGTGCTGTATTCAGAATGCAGAAAATCAGTATAACAAAAAATGGTTCTCTTTTTCCAGTATTGATAATAACATGATCTGTATCTATCTTTACATTCTTCCGAAACGGTAACCAGATGGGGCTTGAACTTCCCATGTTTTGCTTGGATAATCTGCTTAGTGCTTAGGTTCCAATTCTCATGGTAACAAGATTCTGACCTTGATGTATGTTGGTTATTATCTGGATTATCTAAGGCAAGCTGGCCTTGATTCATGGCCATCTTACTGAACATCCTCAATTAGGCTTGAGAACTCGATAGGATGGCATTTTTCAAATCAATAGTCCCATCTCTATATCGGAGACTTCAGTATCCTGATCTTTCCCTTCCAGCCATATTACTTCCCATCTGCTTAACTGAGTTGGATTAAGTTCGAACAATCTATCCTTCCTTTCAATTTCAATATTTTGAACTGACATGTTGTCTATGTATGTGTTATTCTTTGACAGTACAAGGATATTATGATTTTCTTTTTTTCCAGGTCAATGCATTCCGAGAACGGAGAGCCCTTGCTTTGTCTCTCAACGACACAAAAACAGCTGTAAACACACTCCACCATATGTTGAATGTCCTTGTGGGAATGGTCATAGTGGTTATCTGGCTTCTTATACTCAAGGTTACCACTACCCATTTCCTTATCTTTTTAAGCTCCCAGCTTCTTTTGGTGGTCTTCATGTTTGGAAACACATGCAAGACAACATTTGAGGCAATCATTTTCTTATTCGTAATGCATCCATTTGATGTGGGTGATCGCGTTGAAGTGGAAGGAGTTCAGGTAAGACCTTACGCATTAAAGCTAAAATCATGTCCATTTTGCTTACATGTGCGTTTAAGCATGTATTTCTATCAAATGTTTGTGGCTGTAACTTCCATTTATTTTGAGTCTCAGATGATAGTCGAAGAGATGAATATATTGACAACGGTTTTTCTGAGGTATGATAACCAGAAGATCATATATCCAAATGCAGTACTATCTACCAAACCCATCAGTAATTATTATCGCAGTCCAGATATGGGAGATGCAATTGACTTTTGTATCCATATCTCAACTCCCATGGAAAAGATTGCTATGATGAAAGAGAGAATAACGAGGTATTCATGAATATGCTTATTTTTTTCCTCATTTGTTTTTCTCTCGTCTATTATGTAGCTTTTGCGGCATAATGTCAAAAGGTTGCTTCTGTTTACCTTACGAGGATTATAGCACAATGGCTTGGGTAGATTTGCAGAGAGCTACTGGCATACTTTGAGTTCAATGTTTTTAATAGTATTTTTCCGTCTTGTGTCAAGTCTATAAACTAGCTAATAGATTTATGTCTCTCATCTACTGTATGATATGGTTGCCTTGATTGCAGGTATATTGAAAATAAGAGCGAGCACTGGTACCCAGCTCCGATGATAGTCCTGAGGGACGTGGAGGACATGAACAGGCTGAAAATATCATTGTGGCTTTCACACACAATGAACCACCAGGACATGGGTGAGAGGTGGGCAAGGAGGGCTCTTTTGATTGAGGAGATGATCAAAGTGTTCACGGAGCTTGATATTCAATACCGAATGCTGCCCTTTGACGTTAATGTGCGACAAATGCCAGCTCTGACTTCAAACAGGCTTCCCTCCACTTGGGCTGTTTGTGCTAGCTGATCATACATGAAAAATGAGCAGTCTGCGATTTCATGTCAGATGTTGGACATGTAGCAGCAATGCTCGTTGGATCAGGAGGGGGAAGTACTAGGTATTGGGAGGTTTAGACTGCGAACCGTACATTGTGACCTTGATTAGAAAAAGGGGCAATATCAATGTTGCATTCAGACATGCACATGAGTTTTCTAGCCTGGTAACATCATATAGCACATATAGGATAGATTTATGCGGATATATCTGTGTGTGGGGGCAAAGTATTATTTTTCTTATTCGAAGTTTTCTATGCTGAAGAGTGAATACATTCGAAAATTGAGGTCAATTATCTAGAGTGTGAGATTTGTGGTGATATTAGTCATATACCTAAATAGGATAGACTGTATGGAACGATGTATCTGGTATACTTTGTGATAGATGCGCAACTCTTAAATTGAAGAGAAAACTATATCATAAAAGTCACAAGACCTGTCATGTTTTAGGGTATTGAATAGTGGACAATTAAGAAACAATATGTTCGGGAATTATATTGCAGAAATGATAATAATAAATAAATTTGTGGTAAAATTAAGAAAAATAGAATTAAACAAATGAATTTGAGCTGGTTTTATGGTAAAATAATAATGCATCATAACTGTGACCTCTGAAGGCTTAACAACCTTTTTGAAGGATGAAAAAGCTGTAAGAATTCATTGAAGGTTACAGTTGGCTGGGGTTTTTTTTTTTTTTTTTTTTCAGTTCAACGGCTATCGGGTCACCTTACGTGTCTTTTGACTAATTCTTTTCTTAATCTGATTAAAGATAGATCATTCACGTCAAAATTAAGAAATTTATGAAAGATAAATCTTTTATAATTTAGTTTAAAGAAGTTTTCAAAATTTGAACTTAAGCGGCTAGATTATTGTTTGTTCAAAGATTTGTATTATCTTTTTTTTTTTGGTCAGACCATCTGGTATTCGAAAGTTATTTTGGGCTCCGACTAATCCAGATTCGAGCCAAGTAGGACCACAAGAGCGGTAAAAACTCTCCCTACCGAACGCAGTTGCATTCCTAAGACTCGAACTCGAGACCTTGGTTAAGTTAGAAGAGTTTCTCACCAACTAATCTAACGCTCGGTGGTTAGAATTGCATTATCTTTGAACACAGATCAAGCGAAGCTTTTTTCTTCCTTTTTTTTTTCCTTACTTTTTTTCTCATATCAAGCCAAGTTTGAGATGAGTTAGTGCTGTTGGGTTTGATTACAATTCCATTATTTGGACGGAGGATATGCTTTTGCATTAGAACCCTAAATCTTTGGGTAAATCTTTTAGGGATTCTTGGCATTTGATATAATTATAGAGCATGGAGTCATAGTGTACCGTACCATATGAAGCAACCCTATTTTAAGCGTAATGCTATTGAGATGGTTTCAACTTCTGACATAATTAATTAATCCAATAATGTGGTTATTGATATGGTTTCATAGCATTATTACAACCGCAACTATTGAATTTAATCATTAAAATCATATCACTTAACATATCATTTAGTCAACAAATTATATCAAATTTTTCGATCAAAAAAATTATTACTTCTAACATTTAAAATATTATATATATACGCCTAAAGTTTGTATTGGTATAACACTTAAACCCCTGCCATCAATATTCGCTCAGAGCTCTTAAAGTTTGTAAACTTATAATATTTAGGCCCTTTAAATTTAAAATATTATATTTAGACCAAAAAAATACTCAAATCAAATATTTTAAATTTTATAACCAAAATTTCTGTTATATTATAACATTTATTAAAATAAATCAAAAATAAAAATATATTTTTTTCTTAAAAAAATTATAATTAATATATAATTATATTATCTATTGAAATTTAATTTACTCATTTAAATGACTAAATTAAACTACCAAGTTATCCCAATTAAAAGCTAGAAGATATTGTGTCAATTACAGTTTGACCCNGAACTCGATAGGATGGCATTTTTCAAATCAATAGTCCCATCTCTATATCGGAGACTTCAGTATCCTGATCTTTCCCTTCCAGCCATATTACTTCCCATCTGCTTAACTGAGTTGGATTAAGTTCGAACAATCTATCCTTCCTTTCAATTTCAATATTTTGAACTGACATGTTGTCTATGTATGTGTTATTCTTTGACAGTACAAGGATATTATGATTTTCTTTTTTTCCAGGTCAATGCATTCCGAGAACGGAGAGCCCTTGCTTTGTCTCTCAACGACACAAAAACAGCTGTAAACACACTCCACCATATGTTGAATGTCCTTGTGGGAATGGTCATAGTGGTTATCTGGCTTCTTATACTCAAGGTTACCACTACCCATTTCCTTATCTTTTTAAGCTCCCAGCTTCTTTTGGTGGTCTTCATGTTTGGAAACACATGCAAGACAACATTTGAGGCAATCATTTTCTTATTCGTAATGCATCCATTTGATGTGGGTGATCGCGTTGAAGTGGAAGGAGTTCAGGTAAGACCTTACGCATTAAAGCTAAAATCATGTCCATTTTGCTTACATGTGCGTTTAAGCATGTATTTCTATCAAATGTTTGTGGCTGTAACTTCCATTTATTTTGAGTCTCAGATGATAGTCGAAGAGATGAATATATTGACAACGGTTTTTCTGAGGTATGATAACCAGAAGATCATATATCCAAATGCAGTACTATCTACCAAACCCATCAGTAATTATTATCGCAGTCCAGATATGGGAGATGCAATTGACTTTTGTATCCATATCTCAACTCCCATGGAAAAGATTGCTATGATGAAAGAGAGAATAACGAGGTATTCATGAATATGCTTATTTTTTTCCTCATTTGTTTTTCTCTCGTCTATTATGTAGCTTTTGCGGCATAATGTCAAAAGGTTGCTTCTGTTTACCTTACGAGGATTATAGCACAATGGCTTGGGTAGATTTGCAGAGAGCTACTGGCATGCTTTGAGTTCAATGTTTTTAATAGTATTTTTCCGTCTTGTGTCAAGTCTATAAACTAGCTAATAGATTTATGTCTCTCATCTACTGTATGATATGGTTGCCTTGATTGCAGGTATATTGAAAATAAGAGCGAGCACTGGTACCCAGCTCCGATGATAGTCCTGAGGGACGTGGAGGACATGAACAGGCTGAAAATATCATTGTGGCTTTCACACACAATGAACCACCAGGACATGGGTGAGAGGTGGGCAAGGAGGGCTCTTTTGATTGAGGAGATGATCAAAGTGTTCACGGAGCTTGATATTCAATACCGAATGCTGCCCTTTGACGTTAATGTGCGACAAATGCCAGCTCTGACTTCAAACAGGCTTCCCTCCACTTGGGCTGTTTGTGCTAGCTGATCATACATGAAAAATGAGCAGTCTGCGATTTCATGTCAGATGTTGGACATGTAGCAGCAATGCTCGTTGGATCAGGAGGGGGAAGTACTAGGTATTGGGAGGTTTAGACTGCGAACCGTACATTGTGACCTTGATTAGAAAAAGGGGCAATATCAATGTTGCATTCAGACATGCACATGAGTTTTCTAGCCTGGTAACATCATATAGCACATATAGGATAGATTTATGCGGATATATCTGTGTGTGTGGGCAAAGTATTATTTTTCTTATTCGAAGTTTTCTATGCTGAAGAGTGAATACATTCGAAATTTGAGGTCAATTATCTAGAGTGTGAGATTTGTGGTGATATTAGTCATATACCTAAAATAGGATAGACTGTATGGAACGATGTATCTGGTATACTTTGTGAGAGATGCGCAACTCTTAAATTGAAGAGAAAACTATATCATAAAGTCACAAGACCTGTCATGTTTTAGGGTATTGAATAGTGGACAATTAAGAAACAATATGTTCGGGAATTATATTGCAGAAATGATAATAATAAATAAATTTGTGGTAAATTTAAGAAAAATAGAATTAAACAAATGAATTTGAGCTGGTTTTATGGTAAAATAATAATGCATCATAACTGTGACCTCTGAAGGCTTAACAACCTTTTTGAAGCATGAAAAAGCTGTAAGAATTCATTGAAGGTTACAGTTGGCTAGGTTTTTTTTTTTTTTTTTTTTTTTTCAGTTCAACGGCTATCGGGTGACCTTACGTGTCTTTTGACTAATTCTTTCCTTAATCTGATTAAAGATAGATCATTCACGTCAAAATTAAGAAATTAATGAAAGATAAATCTCTTATAATTTAGTTTAAAGAAATTTTCAAAATTTGAACTTAAACGGCTAGATTATTGTTTGTTCAAAGATTTGTATTATCTTTTTTTTTTCGGTCAGACCATCTGGTATTCGAAAGTTATTTTGGGCTCCGACTAATCCAGATTCGAGCCAAGTAGAACCACAAGAGCGATAAAAACTCTCCTTACCGAACGCAGTTGCATTCCTAAGACTCGAACTCGAGACCTTGGTTAAGTTAGAACAGTTTCTCACCAACTAATCTAACGCTCGGTGGTTAGAATTGCATTATCTTTGAACACAGATCAAGCGAAGCTTTTTTCTTCCTTTTTTTTTTCCTTACTTTTTTTCTCATATCAAGCCAAGTTTGAGATGAGTTAGCGCTGTTGGGTTTGATTACAATTCCATTATTTGGACGGAGGATATGCTTTTGCATTAGAACCCTAAATCTTTGGGGTAAATCTTTTAGGGATTCTTGGCATTTGATATAATTATAGAGCATGGAGTCATAGTGTACCGTACCATATGAAGCAACCCTATTTTAAGCGTAATGCTATTGAGATGGTTTCAACTTCTGACATAATTAATTAATCCAATAATGTGGTTATTGATATGGTTTCATAGCATTATTACAACCGCAACTATTGAATTTAATCATTAAAATCATATCACTTAACATATCATTTAGTCAACAAATTATATCAAATTTTTCGATCAAAAAAATTATTACTTCTAACATTTAAAATATTATATATATACGCCTAAAGTTTGTATTGGTATAACACTTAAACCCCTGCCATCAATATTCGCTCAGAGCTCTTAAAGTTTGTAAACTTATAATATTTAGGCCCTTTAAATTTAAAATATTATATTTAGACCAAAAAAATACTCAAATCAAATATTTTAAATTTTATAACCAAAATTTCTGTTATATTATAACATTTATTAAAATAAATCAAAAATAAAAATATATTTTTTTCTTAAAAAAATTATAATTAATATATAATTATATTATCTATTGAAATTTAATTTACTCATTTAAATGACTAAATTAAACTACCAAGTTATCCCAATTAAAAGCTAGAAGATATTGTGTCAATTACAGTTTGACCCTTTATTTGATTTTTTAGTTTTATTCTAATAGATAATATAATTATATATTAATTACGATTTTTTAAGAAAAAAATTAATTTTTTATTTTTAATTTTATTTCAATAAATGATACAATAGAACATAAATTATAACTGTAAAATTTAAAATATTTGATATTCTATCTTTAATTGGAGTTTTTGTGGTCTAAATATAATAACAGTTTAAAGTTGAAGGGTTTAAGTATTACATACTTATAAATTTCTAAGAGTTTAAGTGTAATTTACTAATTAATATACTAACGGACATTAATGACATCAATCTAGGTGATAGGCGCGTTCAAACCTTAAAAAGTCTATGTATAATATTTCAAATGTCAAAAAATTTAAGTGATCGTGTAACAAACCTTAGAAGATTTAAGTATAATTCTCTTCTTTTTTTTTTCGTATTCCAGGTTTCTAAATCAATTTACTTTCTCCTTAGCTAATATCTTTTTTAATTTAGTTAAAGTCAAAGTCATTCACACCAAAATTATAAAATTCATAAGGAATAAATTTATCATATCTAAATTCCACTTTAAAAAAAATTATCAAGGTGCGAATTTAGAATATTGAATTTCCAGCTCACCCTTGGGGTTAAACTGTGTAACTTTGGGGGACCCTATCAACATCCTCCTGAAGTAAAGGATAAAGTGGAAATAGTGCCCTCCCTACGCTGGATGGTTGTAAACAGAGACAAGACCTGCAGCAAAATCCAAAGAAAACTTACCCATCCTCCAACTCCAACCACCTCCAATGGGCACGCCGGTGAAAGTGTACGGTCCACCATTGTCCACTGCTGTCTCCAGGGTTCTTGCCTGTCTCCTTGAGAAAGATGTCCCTTTTCAGCTCATTTCCGTCAACATGTCCAAAGGCGAGCACAAAAAGCCAGACTACCTCAAGATACAGGTATTATATATGTTCGATCTATAGAGGGGTGTCTGTGTGTGTGTAAATTCCAGTGTCTGTTGATTTTATTTCCCGCTTGTTCTTTCTTAATTTTGACTGTAAACAGCCCTTTGGCCAAGTCCCAGCTTTTCAAGACGAAAGCATCTCTCTCTTTGGTAAATTTTCAAATTCCCTTCTTGTCTGTAATGTTTCAGAGCTTCAATTCAGTTCAAGATTTTGTTAATCATCATTAGATCTGGAAAATTGGTGGTTTTGTTTTTCTGAAATTGAAGTTCGTGTTTTTGATGAGACCAGAGTCGAGAGCAATATGTCGATACATATGTGACAAGCACGCAAGACAGGGAAACAAGGGTCTGTACGGAGTAAACCCGTTGGAAAAAGCTTCAATTGATCAGTGGTTGGAGGCCGAGGGACAAAGCTTCAACCCACCGAGCTCAGGCCTCGTGTTTCAGCTAGCTTTTGCACCGCGAATGAAGATCAAGCAAGACGAAGCAATTATCAAGCAGAGTGAAGAGAAGCTGGCAAAAGTGCTCGATGTGTATGATAAGAGACTCGGTGAGACTCGGTACCTGGCTGGCGATGAGTTCACATTGGCTGATCTTTCTCACCTGCCTAATACACAGTACTTGGTGAGTGGGACTGATAAAGGAGAGCTCTTCACTTCGAGGATGAATGTGGGAAGGTGGTGGGGTGAGATTTCGAGCCGAGAGCCGTGGAAGAAGGTGGTTGAAATGCAGAACACACCACCATCGGCAAAAGCTTGAATTGGGTTCGTGATTTCTAGGTGTACCCTTTTGAAATGGGCATGTTTGAGTTTTATGCTTCTTCATTCTAGTTTCACTTCTGCTTTGCTAGGTTTGTGATCTCTTTTGCTTGTAGCACCACGTTGTCGTTGTAATTGCTTCAAGTTCTGGAGACCCTTGTTATGCATCTCACTAGAAAGGTGTTCAATAATGAGATAGATTCATGTTATCAGTCGTATATAAATGGGATACTTTTTTCTCAAAATTGCCTTGTTCCATTTGAATACAACTTATACTACAAATAATAGGTGACACAGTAAATGCCATATTGAGCCTTTTCCAAACATGTACATATATTCACACCAGCATGCACAAGTTCAATGTAAGAATTCAACAATACAGAAAGGCACACACACGAGAGCTTGTTAAGAGCCAGATCCTCGTTCTTAAGAGCAAAATCTTCATTATCCAACCCTTCTACCGGAGATCAAACTTTTAGGTTAAGAAAGGCAAATTCCTGGATGGTTGAAAAAAAGTTTTGAAACATTCCTAGCAGTCCTAAAAGTAAATGAATATTAGAGTTGGGACAATTTCTCCATCAATCTGATGTACACAAAAATTGTAGCTTTATGTGAAAATTAAGAGTTGGCTGTCTATTTCTATAAGGGCCAGATTACCATCGATCAAGCTTGTTCCTCTTGTGTCAGCAAGCAGAGCGGTAGGTTCAG